AACAGCAGGATGGCATCCCTGGCACCCCGCAGAATGGGAGGAATCGGCTCCCTGTCCCGCTCTGCGTCACCGCCCTGGTGCACTTCCCCTGACTTATTTTATTTTTAGTTGCCTAATAGAAAGTCGCCTCACCTTTCCTGCCATGCCCCTTCCCGAAGGCACCTTCTGTGCACCTTCCTCCTCCTCTCGTGCTGCCGGTGCCGCTTCTCCCCATGGGGGCTGCAGGATGCTTGGTACCCCCATGGGCGCGGAGCTGTGGCCGGGCTCTGCTGTGCGCAGGGAGCCGGCCCATCCCATGGGAATGAGCGCCAGGGCCACCCGTGAGAGAAGGGAGCCTGTCCCCAGCCCTGGGGCAGAGAGGTTGTTGGCACCTCCGTCCGGAGGCAGCAGCTCTCAGCAATTCCCGATGCCGTGCTGGATTTGCGGTCCCTCCAGCCGGGGACTTTATCCCAGAGCATCCTCCACCGCCGGCAGCGCGATTCCCCCCGGCGGGGGTGAAGGGGCTCGTTCCGCACCGGCAGCACCGGGACTGACCTCCCGTTCCCCCTCGCAGGTCTTCAACGAGGACGGCACCGTGCGCTACTTCATCGACGCCAGCCAGGAGGACCACCGCAGCTGGATGACCTACATCAAGTGCGCCCGCAACGAGCAGGAGCAGAACCTCGAGGTGGTGCAGATCGGGAACAGCATCTTCTACAAGGCCATCGAGGTAAAGGGCTGGGAAGCAGCTCGGGAGGGGCTGGGATGCGGCCACCCCCTGCCCTGCGGAGCCTCCTTTGCTCTTCAGCCCTTTGCTGGGGCACTGGTGGCAGCGGGCGCTGGGACGGCAGGGCTGGCACGGCCCCAGCACAGAACCGCACCCATGCGGAGAAGGGAGCTGGCACAGGGAAAAGGCCGTTGCGGGGCCATGGGGAAGCTCTGGAGAGCAGCACAGGGCCCTTCTCCTCTCCAGCCCCTCCTGGGGTGCTGAGCGGGAGAGAACAGAAATGTTCTGGGTTTTGGAAAGCTCTGCGGGTCCTGGGGTCTGGGCAGGTGCTGGGGTTTGATGGGCTCTGCACAGAGGACCAGGCCTTGTCCAACCCGGGGAGACCCCCTTGCAGCTGGGGACGCCGTGGGGCTCCACACAAAGCAGGCGCCGAGCGAAGCCCGGGCTCAGATCTGCCTGATTTGAGACCAAGAGCAGCCCGGGGTGCAAAACGTTTGTGAGAGGAGGCCGGTGCCCGGGCTGCCAGGGCAGGGGACGGCGCGTTGCCCGCGCGGCCGGGCTGCCAGCTCTGCAGCGGGAGCAGCCTCGGGGCGCAGCGGGACCCTGGTGGCACTGGGGGGCTCTGGATGAGCACGGAGCAGAGGCAGGTGCCGATCCCAGGGACCTGGAGCCTGGGGCACTGGATGCCGCAGGGATGAGTCCTCCATCCTGCAGCTTCCCTGTGGGAGATGCGCCAGGATGGAGCCGGGTGTTGGGAAGTGTCACGCGTGCCTGGGACGTGTGGCCCCAGGCAGGTGACAATGCAAACAGCCCTGTGTAGGTTCCTTATCCTCACCGACACCTTACCGCTTCCTCCTGGGATGAAGGGTAGCCTGGAAAAGGTGAGGAAGGGCCTGGGAGAAGCTTTGGGAAGCAGGGTTTAGGATGAGCCAGGGCAGGTGCTGGCGGAGCAGGGAGGGAGCTGGAGCAGAGGTGACGCTGCTGCGGGGGGAAGGGGGGGGCAGGCCAGCTCCGGTTCAGTGTGCGAGCAAGGATGTCCCCTGCTCATCCTGCTGTGCCGGGACCGGCCCTGCTCCGTGTTAGCCCAGCTGCATGCTTGGATGCATGGATGTGTCTGGGAAGGAGCGCAGGTGTCCACGCGAACCCGAGGGTGAGGGCAGCTCCGCAGCCCCATCGTGGCCCTGCTGAGAGGGAAGCAGCTGCTCCCAGCCCAGGATCAGCTCATTCCTGCATCGAGCTGCAGCAGGACGGGCTGGGATCGCTGCAGCAGGATGGGAAAGGCAGGCAGGGGCCTATGGAAGCAAGGGGAGACCCGGCCTTTCCGATGCGGTAGAGCTGCGTGTCCAGCCAGGCTTTCCCCATCCCGTTCCATGACGGAGTACTTCTGCGCTGTCCTCCCGGTCCCCTCGAGCTGTGTCCGGGTTGGAGACCCGATGCTCCCATGGCAGTGTGCCAGCTGTGCCCGCGCCTCAACCGCTGCTTCTTACCCTTATACGATGCAAAGAAGTGACAGGATTCCCCCTAACAGGGGCGTAATTAGGAATCCAGCTGTGCTCTCCCACCCCGCGGCCCCGTGCGCGCGCAGATGGTGGGGCAGGAGAGGCCGGTGCGTGGAGGCCTCGGGCAAGCACTGTTAATCTGCAGGCTCCGGGTCAGCCGGCCCCGGGGCAGGATCAGCTCCGTCCCCTCGGTACAAACCGGGAAGCTGAAATGTGGGAGCTGGAGCGCGAGCGCTGGGGAAGGTGCTGCTGGGGTGTCCGCTCCCAGGGATATCTGTGCTCCCATTCCCGGGATACTGTGGGTCCCTCCTGGCCGTGCGGCAGGGAAGGGGTTGCTGCTTTCCCTGCAAAAACATGAGGAAGGGAAATATTTGAGCAGAAGAGGCTGGGTCGCAGATGATGCATCAAGGACTGACGCTGCCGTTCCCGGGCGCGCGGTGCGTCCGGGCACCCCGCGATGCTGCTCCGCTCGGGTTGCTGGAGCTCGCTGGGGTTCGTGCACCCAGCAAGCAGAAAGAAAAACAGCAGGAGGATTTTCCTTGTGCAGCTCTGCGCTCGCTACTCCCCCAGCTCGGAGCTGCGGGGGCACCAACGGGGCACTGCAGAGAGCCGTGAGCTGCCTCCCCGGCCACGTAACCTCCAGGCACCCGCTTCACTAGCTGCAAAGCCGGGACCTGCATCCTCAGCCCCTGCTCTAATGCAGCTCTAATGTGTCGGGCAGGTGCCGCAGCAGCCCCTGGGGACGCTGCTCTGATGCCCGCGCTGCCCCCGCAGCAGCACCCGGCTCCTTGGGCACTGCCACCCGCTGTCACCCTGTTTGTCCCCCCCAGCCCAGGCTCCCGCACACCCTGGTGCTTGCAGCATCCCGGCCCTATTGCCCCTGCGGGCAGCTCTGGCGCTGCTGCTCTCGCCCACCCACCACAAAACCAGGTTTATCGGTGTCTTTCACCCTTCGCTGCTGGTGTTTCCCTCTGTTTTGCCCATTCCACCCCTCTGCTCCTCCTTGGCAGCTCCCGGGACACGGTGCGAGGGCAGCGGGTTCTGGCGCTCGAGCAGGAGCTCCCTGGGCAGTTAAACTGTTTCCGAGCTCTCAGCCCCTGCGGTGCCGCGGGGTGGATGTGCACAGCCTGGCTACCCTTGCTTGGGGGTCACTTCTGCAAGGAATTGGATTCTATTGTTTTAAAAAATATTTTGTTAGGTGAGAGTGATCCAGGGAAACAGCCCCAGTCTGGGATGGGTGTTGATAGTGGCTACCCCTGCCTTTCAGGGTGCTCAGCAGCCCGCAGAGGTGCTTATGCAGGCAGAGGCTTCAATGCGCAAAGTCAAATTCCTCCTGCCCTCAGGTGCTTGGGGTTAGCCCTGTTTTAAGTGCTCCCCTGGTCTGTTACAATCTGTTTTATACAAATAGGGCTTTTCCTAGACCCTTGTGTGCATGGAAAGCCGCTCTCCAAAACAGAGGTCCTTCCCCTTTCTGGATTATATTCCTAGCACTGTGGACCTGAAAGAGAAGTTATATACATATATGCATGTGTGTGTGTATATATACATATATAAGATATATATATAAGATATATATATATATATATATCTTATAATGAAGTGATGACGTTAGTCTGGGTGAGCACATCCTTTTTCCCGCTGCGGCTGCTCCTTTGTGGGAACATCCACTCTTGTATCTCGGC